CTTTGGAGTCTGGTCCTGAAGTTTTTTTGCTGTAAGATGGCAACCTTAGTCTCAAAGGTGCCACAGGACCCTCTGTTGCTTTTTACAGATTCAGACTAACACGGCTACCCCTCTGATACTCGATATTGTAGTAATGATTAGCAAGAGGGCTAAAAACATTAGCCTCTGAGCACCTATTCATCTACACCACACCAGCCTGGCCTGGTAAGAGAGAGCTTAAGCAGAGAGAAGACTCAGCTGAGCATCATAGTGCAGCACACACACTTGGGGCCAGCATCCATCTCGCTGTCTGGAAACAAAGCAAGGACAGTGATTTGCAGCAGACTTGTGGCCTGAAGCAATACAGGATAGAGAATAAGGAAACGACAGGACAAAAACATGACACCTGGGATATGATTGATTGATATGGTTTTGGACGAGTGAGGGACGGCAGATTTGGCACTGCCTACAGAAATGGAAAATAAACTTCAACATATTGCTACGTTTGGATTTACCATCATCAGCAAGTTTCCCTTAGTAACAAGGTCACATTCCCATTAGAGCAATCCTCACAACTGACTCTTTTGCCGGACTCTTTCGTTAAATGCTTCTTCGCTCTTTGTGATCAGTTTGCGTCTGTGGGGATAGGAAGGGGAAGTGTTACAAAAGGGACAGTAGAGTATCTACTCACATCTGCCTCTGTTATGTAGCCTTTTATTTTATTTAAAGTGAATTTTGTAATGTGGTATTACGCCTTCATGGGTTCTGCTCTGGTGGCTAGAGTTTCAAGCTTAGCAGAGTGAAAATCACCTCTGCTGCTTGCTTCAGATTTAGAGTCTTTAGGAACACAAAGACCAAGGGTAGTGACCACACGTACATTCACAAGTAAAAGATCTAGTCTGTCTTACAAACTTTATTAAAGTTATAGTTAAAGTTAGGATTAGCCAAGCATATAGAAATTCTATACAGACATACACAAGTTACAAATATATTTATACTCACATCCTTAACAATAGTGTTAGGATCTGATGGGTCTCTCATGGATTGATCATCAGTAGAGGGATGGTTCCTGCTGAAGATTCCCATAGCGAGCTCAATTTTCCCGCTCTGGGCACCCTTTTATAATGTAATTCTGTCTATAACTCTTTAGCATTTACGTATATTGTGCACCCTGCGGTTAGGGCATGTGTTAGAAAAATGTAACTACTCAGTATCTTGTAAGCAAAAAATTACTCTTACTATTAATTTTTTGCAATATCGCCCATTGGTATATCTTTTCCCGTAATCTTAGGGCATGAGGTTATTCTTTGGTCACTTATATTAGCATTTCTTAACTCTGTTGCCTAGTATGGCTAAGCTAAAATCTTACAGGCCTCAGCCCGTAGGCCTTGCATTTCATCCCTACTTAGATATCTAATACACGATTATCCCTTCCACGTACTGATGAATCTCATATCTCTATAATCCTACAATTTAACTCTATTTAGCTTACAATGATTATATATGACGCATGTTAATCATAACCTCAATGAATAAACTAAAGTCATTGGCTACAGTTACTATATAGGCTATAGAATTTAAAGACTGCCAGATAAGCAGGTGCAACTCCACCGACTTCAGCAGACTCACAGTTATGATCCGATTGTTTGTCCCCAGATCTCCCACACGATAGGAAGCATGCTCAGCTCCCACACAACCTCCACATGTGGGTTTCCTTTGCCAGACATAAGCAGAAGCTCTATTTCCATTGTAACGTAAGCCCTGATCTTTAGTAAACAATACATTAATATGCTTAAATCTTGGCCCAGCAACAGATTCATCTTGGTTATTGTGGAACCTGAGTGCCATGTTCCACAGTAAGCAATGAGAATGATCATTGATGAGTTAAAATGAGGCCACCAAACTGAACAGTGGAAAGCCAGCAATTCACAGCATCCTCTCCCTTTATTAATTCCAGTAAACTGCGACAGTGTTTGCTTCAAGAAAGGAATGGAGATTTAATGACCAAGAATGGGAAAAAACTCCTCCCCTCCTTCCAAAAGACACACATTTTTTTCTGTGTTAACACCATCTTGTATATTAGAACTAGAAAACGTGTTTTAAACACTCTAACCTTGTCATCTCCATTTGTTTTTTCTTTACACTTCACTCACCTTAGTGAAACCAGACTGGTTAGTTTCACTTCCTGCGTCTCCGATGCTGTAGGTGATCATTATTTTAAGGACTGGGATACTTTTGATAGGGTTTGGATAATTGTTTCACATGAAAAAAGTGGACTCTTAAAAATGTGGCTGGCATTGCTACTGCCAGCCTCTGCCTCACTGATGTGCATATTACTTGGAGGGGAGGATTCTTCCAGTAACTTTGTGTCAGAATGGGTTTATCATGAAACACCGAACAAGTATAATTAACATTCTCTCTGTTGAGAGCTCAGATATGTAGAAACTACATGCAGCTGCACTGATTGCAAAGCCCATGTTCTGGAAGCTAACAGGCTGTCTAAGCTTCTTGTGGGGCTTTTCTAAGGCACCAGAATTTGAGCAGGGGGAATGTATATACCATCTTGGTGATTCCATGTGGGCAGCGCAGCTCTGCTGAAACTGCTTGGCAGATGGCACTTGCATGAGAATGTTTGGATATAAAATCCACTGTTCCTGCGAATGAAAGAACTGACAAAGCCTCGTAGTGTAAGTAAGAATGATTAAAAAGAGTGAACTAGTAAATGCTCATGTAGTTGAGTGCTGCTAGTTGAAGCTATCTGGGCTGAAATACTTAGATTTCGTTCCTACCTCAGAAGGGCATTTTCATCTGCCAGGGAAGTGATATTGAGCTGGTGTTTTAATTCAACTGCCGAGATTTTCTGTTGGATGTTTTTCTCCAACGCCATCAGGTTGCTTTTCTGGGGAAAAAGGAGCACCGGGTAGTTATTCACTTGCTGTACCCAGACAGGATCAGTCGTTTTACACAACGGCAGGACACAAGACAGCAGGGATGACTGAGAAACACAGAAATCAGTCTGGACCGGTCTAAGCAGGCAAAAACTTCTGCCCCACACTTCCTCCAGATCAATTGTTCTGCTATAGGAACAGCCCAAGCTCGCTGTTAGAATGGTCAAACACTGACAGTTCTTTGCTGGGTGAGACAGCATGAACATGTATGAAAGGTGGGCCATGGTGGTGCAGCATCAGAGCGCAATAGAAAGACTCATTACTAACAGGGAGTGGGATCCCCGAGTAGCTAGTCACAAAAGGCTGACCTGCCAGCAGGGTATAGTCAGTTACACTTGCTTTTAATTTCCCATTTGCTTCTATAGTGGACACCACAGTAATCTCTCTGCAAACAGAATGCCACTGGTCACTGTTCTTATAGCAGGATGTACCCTACTTATAACTAACCAGAGGGCAATAATCAGAGCATCACTGCAGTTAAGAGGCTGTCAGCATATCCTTGGTACAGCTACTGCTCACCAGTTACACAGAAAATTCACCACAACCACAGAGTGGGGAAAGGAATCCCCTCATCTGTCTCAGACATAACTGAACAGGTCATGCCACCAACTGGCATTTGTATTGTAACGAATCCTTGGGCCTCTAGTAATTTGATTGGCAGACACCAATGCGAGGGTGTCTAGAAACTTCTTGGCAACGGTGATGCTAGAACTCAGCTCCTCTTGCACCAAAAGCATAGGCCCCTACCATGTGAGCTATAGGAGAAGTAGTCAGTCAGCTATTACTTGTGTATAGGACCTACAGCATACAGCAGAGCAGTTCTCTGGTCATTTGTTATAATATTAATGCAAATTATGTTCTGTGCACCAAGACGACGCCCCCCCCCCAAATCTGAATCCAGCAGCAGATATTAATAACGTCAAAGAAATGCACAGAACAAACCACCAGAAAATTGGCTTTAGAAGTGCAGAAACAGCCCACCTCTTCTGACATGGCCACTGATTCTGGATGTCTCGACTGTGAGGGCTCAACGTGAGATTCTAGAAGTTGCACCCAACACACACATCCACTTCCTCCTCAGCACAGGGGAAATCTTGCCGACTGGGTGACAGGCCTCATTTTGCCATGGAATTCCCAACCAGTGTCAGAAAGGATTCCACCCCAGGACCTGGGGCTCACTGGCCTATGCCCTCCTGCCTCTGCATGCAGCCTGCAAATATCTTGATGACACTCATTAACTCCCCAAACAGGTTCTCCTCCCCTAACACCTCCTGCTGGATCTCCTATACCAGGCTCCTAATTCACGACTCTCCCCATGGATCCTACCAAAAGTCTGTCTCAACTAGTGTGACCAGACAGCAAATGTGAAAAATCGGGATGGAGGTGGGGGGTAATAGGAGCCTATATAAGAAAAAGACCCAAAATCGGGACTGTCCCTATAAAATCAGGACATCTGGTCACCCTAGTCTCAACACCATGCTGTGTCTCACCCAACACTCTCAGCACCTTCCTTAACACCTGCCCCCAACCATGCATTCCCTTGTCCTCCAGACCCCAACACTATTCCCCTTAGCACTATTGAGAAAAAAGGAAATTGGCCGACAACAAGATTTGGATGGTAACAGTTGACGTATGTAAGTGCTTGTCTAAAAGCTATGGATCAGTACACACATCAATAACCTCACCCCAATCACTGTAAGGTGTGGAACTTCCCACCAAGGTTAACTGTGCAATTCTGACCCCAACCTTAACACACCACTCATGAGCACATAGCCAGGTGCTGGAATTTGCTGTTTGTGCAATACCTAAATAACTTTACATTTGCTCCTCCTCCGATAAACCAAAATTCAGACACAACCTTATCCAGACTCAAGAAACTACTTCTAGCACAACGAAGAGCAATTCTGCTCTGAAACGTGAATGGAGACGATAAACGTGGGAATCAGGGCCATTGTTACAATAATTCCCAGACCAAAGGTGCTCAGTTTAAAGGGGAAAAATACAGCAAGTAACATCGTCAAAAGTAACTAAGTGACCTAGGAGCCTAAATCCCCTTCTCAAAAGTGATGTAGGTACTTGGGAGCCCAAGTCCCACTGAAACTTAGTGATGTGTATGCTCCTTAGTACCTAAACTGGTTTGGCAGATGGCACCCATGTTTTAACTGCCAGCCCTGCAAACACCCCCTTGACCAGAGAGACTAGTTTCAAGCCAAATCAGGGCCTCTGTGACACATAAGCAAAATGATGGCCATCAGTTTATGCTCTTAGTGACACCTGGCTAACCTTATTGCCGTCAGGTGGATTGCACAGCTGCTAATATTTAAAAGGGGTTAAGAAGTCTGAAGAGAACCCAGCTCTCTCCCTCAGAGCCGTGTTGGTTCTGCAGTATTAACAGGATGAAAAAGCGGCAACGCTATTACTAAAGTCAGCAGATTTGACTGAGCACAGGGAGCAGATCTGCCGAGGAGGAAAATGTCATTGTTACATGGGTTCTTTTCAAAGCAAAACTGCAGTTTAAGTACTTGATTTAAATGCAGAAAAGCAAAGGAATTCAGGGTAAGTCTGAAAGCCGGTTTCTTCACCCTGCCCTTTGTACTCCAATATTTCAGATGTCCGCGAACCTCAACTGATCTTTAGATAGTCTGTGCTACAATACATGTGAGCCATGTGGTTCTATCTTCACTTGGACTGTCCTGGTACTTAGGTCAGAGCTGTATCAGGATTTCAGTGGGCTAAGTACAGAATCATCCTGTTCTCCCTACAGGGGAGCAAGATGCTCTAGTTAAAGTGCCATCCAGTTGAGCACAGAGACAGAAAATCCTCCAGCGTGACTTGCCATAGCATTGCCCACCACAGCACATGCCCCTCCTACTCCTCAGCCATCTGCTATTGCCCTCTTTTAATTCTGGAAGCTAACCGTCTCCTCCAAGTGTGGACTGACTGTATTCCAAGAACAGACAGCGTGCTGCACGCAGAGATCACAGCCAACTCCTCATCCCCATCTATCCACACCAATGAGGCATATTTCCAGTCTCCCACCCACCCCTAACCAGGTGACCAACTGCCATCAAGACACTGGCTGCTGGCACACGCATTTAAAGAGCAAATTCCCAGGTCAGGTTACTGGCATTGTTCAGTAGATGGGACTGTACAGTTAAGTGTGAGATGCACTCTCAATAACCCACCTTTCTTAGCAGCCAAAGTACAGCCCGCCTTTGAAGGGAAGGGAAGGGAAGAAAGATATTTTACGCTACATGTCAATGGTGTTTGGAAGCCTGAGAACAGCAGCAGCACTTGGTATCTAAGGAGCCCCATGTGCCATAAAGAAGGGAATGTAGCTGTTCAAGAGAGCCCACAGGAATGAACAGGAGACAAGTCTTCAGTACTCAGAAATAAGGCGAGGATTTAGTCACGGATGTTGTGGAATCCATGACTTCCAGGGACCTTTGTGACTTCAGCCTGCAGTGGTCAGGAGCTGCAGGGTCCCCCGCCTCCAGCAGGGGCAGGCAGCTACAGGGTACCTCAGGCACCTCTGGCAGCCCCGGAGCTCCCAGCCGCCACGGGTGCCTCCAGGAGCCCCCAGCCCTGGCGGGGGAACCCCTGCAGCTCCCGACCTGCCGCCAACGGGGGTACCCCGTAGCTCCTGGCCAACATGGGAGGTGGGCGTACCCTGCAGCTCCTGGCCCCCAGGGGCAGCAGGGGATCCCCAGAGCTGCAGGCAGCAGGGGTACCCCGCAGCCCCCAGCTGCTGCAGGCAGCTCCTAGCCCCTGCGCAGCTGCCCCGCTTCAGGCGGTGTGGGAACCCGCAGATCCCCATTTTGTCAGGTATATTTTTAGTAAAAGTCACAGACAGGTCACGGCTTCTGTGAATTTTTCTTCTTTGCCTGCGTCCTCTCCGTGACTTTTACTAAAAATATCCGTGACAAAATCTTAGCCTTACTCATAACATCACACACGCTCTCCCACCTCTTTCTGCAGCTCCACATGAGTGTTCTGCATCGTTGTGGTGAGAGCCTTGAGAATCTGATCCTTCTCCTTCAAATCGGCTTCCAGAGACTTGATTGGATAAAACACAGACACATTCACTTGGATAAAATGGGCTCCTCTCTCTCTAGCCCAATGTACTGTGCAGCCCCCATCAGCCTCTCCCAGTCATTGCCATCCATCTCCAATACCTGTGTCACGGTCTGCACCACATGGGGGCGAGGGTTGGCCTGAACAGAAGCACGGACATACCATTGCCCTGATTTTATGAGCTGGATTCATTCCTATTGGTAGGGGCCAACTAGTTACCCATGCTGTCCTTGTGCTTAATTGGGCTAGAGGAGAGTCAAGCATAAGCTCTCCTGCATATGGACTTCATTTACCTAGAGGCCTCTCAAGATAATCTGCCACCTTAAGCAAAACTTCAGTGTTCCACACCACTCCTACTCCTTAGAACAGAGGCCAGCATGGGGAGTGAGGGGGCGCGTCAGGTTTTCAGGCTGTGGGGGGGCATGGCAAGCTTTCTGATGGTTAGGTGGTTATGGGAGAAGAGCAGAAGCTAGCATCAGCTCGCAGTGCCACTCACTCAGGCTCGGCCCAACCACCCCTCCACCATGTGTGTGTGGGGGGGGAAACGTGGCTGGGCCAAATGTGAGTGAGTCGCACTGCAGCCAAGCAGCTGGGGTTGTTGCACTGCTCAGGTTTGGCCAGGCCACCCCTTGCCCTAGGCAGAATTGGCTGGCCTAGGGAGCTGTCCAGTTTGCCCACAGCTAGAGCGATCCCTAGATTTACCCCTTCACACACAATGGTGCAGGGGCTACAAGTTACAGAGCAGCCGCGTGTGAAGTGGGAGCCACTCCTAGAGGAGAGCAGACAAAACCACTCCCCCACTGAGGGGATATGTCTACACTTGGAGCGGTGGGTGTGATTCGAGGAGTCCTACTCGCACTAGATCAATCAGAGCTAGCACATAAAACATAGGGTAGCTGTGTGGGGATGGGCTAACCACCCTGAGGATGTGCCTAGGATCTTGGATGGACACATACTCAGGGCAGCTGGCCCCTCCTCCCCACCCATCCTGCCACAGATACACTATTTTTAGCATGCCAGCATAATGCGAGCTAGCCTCGGTATGTCTCCTCACGTGAGCTGGGAATCACCCCCCCAGCTCCAAGTGTAGACATTTCCCCGAGGAAACCCAGAGCTCTATGTTACAATAAGGGATCAAGAGCAGCCCAACCAGCAGAGGCTGCACTAAACCATTACAGCCTTCAGACACCCAGGCCCTGTGGCTCGCTAGCCAGCCAGGCCCCTGTCTGGGGTCTGCCCTTATTTGGAAAGTTTTTTATTTCAGGTTTTATAAAAGCACCAGGGCTACATCAAGAACCCAGAATCAAGCTTCGTTTTCCAATGGAAATTACAGTTAAATTTCCTGAGTGGCTCCTTCTCCTATTACAGAACAGTGCACAAAAGGGGAGCTGATCAGTGTGCACTATCCCCTCCATAAGCTTAAATACCTCAGCTAAGTCCCGTCCTGCTGACTGGGGGAGAGTGAACTGCTCAGAAAGCTAGACCGTACCATGTGACACAGTTGCTCCAGTGGCACTGCATTCCTTTTTTTTGCCATACTTGCCTCCTTGATGTTTTGCAACTCTTTTATTTTCTCCACATCTTCCTGGTGCTGTTTAATAAACTCCTGAAAAGGACACACAGTTTGTGCACAGTTCATGGCACGTCTGTAACGTTCCCAGGCTCATCAGTGAGCAGCCGATTCCAACCACCCGCACAATCCAACAGGCGAAACCAAATGCACGACCTTCCAGACAATAACTGCTAGGCAGAAATACAAGTGACTGGTGCTTTGGAAGGTGTCGGACATGCCCCGCACTCCTTAGGATCCCTGGGGTTTAACAGAATTGTCCTGTGATTATGGTTTGAATCCAGCCTGTCCCCATCTCTCCCTTTACTCAGAGCATCAGGCCCTTGAGCCTTTGAGCAATAGGAGCCTTATAAATAGACATAAGAACAGCCATACTGGGTCAGACCAAAGGTCCATCTAACCCAGTATCCTGTCTCGTGACAGTGGCCAATGCCGGGTGTCCCAGAGGGAATGAACAGAACAGGTTATCATCAAGTGATCCATCCCCTGTCGCCCATTCCCAGCTTCTGGAAAACAGAGGCTAGTGACACCATAGACACATGGATTTTATAACAAACCTGCTACTATTTTACTGGCAATAAGAGTTCATGGGAACTGCAGCACCTCAACATGTAGCTTTATGCTTCCCTCAGGACTAGCTACCTCTCTTTCCTGCTGGGAGTGTTTATTCATCATGGAGTTACCACTCTGAGATGATTTCTTTAGCTGCTCTCTCTCCAGCTCAAATTTCTTCATCAATTCCTGCTCTGTGGAGAGAAAGACAGAGGTCTGAGGGCTTTTCCTAATCATCCATTTTAACTCTGTATAAGAGGCACATAAATGTACGTGGCAACATGGATACGAGGTGTTTGACTCATTTCAGCTGCATTCAATATTTCTACAGCCCTAGCACTATGGTATCTATGCACCAGATAACGAATGACAGCACTGGGTGTGCCCCGAAGGAGAACGTTCTCATAGTCTCACCCCATACACATGCCCACACACTGGATCACTTTTCCAGTTATCGTTTTGCTCCCTTCTCCTCCTCTTGCAGTCTCTCTTCTTTGCATGGTAACTTTGTAGCTGTCACAGGTGTTACTTTGCGAGGCTCTGGGATGTGGCACAATGTACAACGTAGCCAGAAATATGTCCTTACCCAGGGGCACACTTCCTACAGAATGGGCTAGCAGGGAAGAGATAAGCACATTGCTGAAGTGACAATATGGAGGAAAAAGAACAGGAGTACTTGTGGCACCTTCGAGACTAACAAATTTATTTGAGCATAAGCTTTCGTGGGCTAAAACCCACTTCATCGGATGCATGTAGTGGAAAATACAGTAGGAAGATATATATAGATATACACACACACAGAGAACATGAAAAAATGGGTGTTGCCATACCAACTATAATGAGACTAATCAATTAAAGTGGGCTATTATCAGCAGGAAAAAAAAACTTTTGTAGTGATAATCAGGATGGCCCATTTCCAACAGTTGACAAGAAGATGTGAGTAACAGTAGGTCGCTCTTCTATTCTAAGCCCTTATTTATAGTCACTTATAAAAGGTTCTTTTGTTGCTGTTTGTTTAAAATCCCAGGAAGCGTCATGCTTGGTCTCAGCCCAGAAGTGATTTTTTGTAACCAGGCATGGGACCAAAGGCCTTGAATATATAAAATCTTCAGGACTATTCATTGCTATCACAGATAAGTTACAATAACCAGAGCAGAAGGTATTCCTGGGTTCTTCTCCATCCACTGAATAACGGAGAGCAACCGGTTACTCTATTGCAGCCAGACCTAGAAGAGTCAGTAAAACTGTCTGGGATAATCTGGTATTTACATCCTAGCAGTTAATAAGGCAGATCTCAAACAATTAAATGACTCAGAGGCAAATGTAGTACCTAAAACTATTTCCAACTCATTGATTTTAATTCACTACCTTGGAAGCTAATGGTGTCCCTCTGAACAGAACGGATTGCCTAAGCTTGGGGGCAGTGGAGTGGTCATCAGCTGCGGCTCTGCCTCCACAGATGTAAATACAAGTGTCCTTGTTTACTCACTTTGCTGTAACAGTGCCTTCTCCCGCTCAGTCCTCTCACTCTTCTTCCATTCAGCCTGCCTTCTCAGCCACTTCTCCTCCATTTCATCAGAAACACTGTCCTACACACACACAGACAATATGCATTTTCAGAAAATCTTCCAAAAACCCTGACGGCTCCTGAATCTCCCACATTGCCTCCAATTATGCTGTAAAAAGATAGCAACTAAATAGCCATTTCCATCCACAGATCCCAAAGTGCTGTACCCTGGAGCTCTCCCCAGGCTAAGGGAGCAGAAGGAGGGAGATCCTTTGGGGGGACAGCCTCTGTGGCCACTGCACACCCCTCTTCCTTGACAGGGGCGAGGGAGACACCTCCAGCTGCATCCGTCATGCCTGCTCCTGCTAGCAGTCACTGAAGTTATGTTCTGTGGTGCACAGGGTATGTGTCCCCACCCTTGGGTTTCGGATATCCTGCCCTCCTTACCCACAGTGGAACTGCAGTGAATCCAGCACATCGGGGACCCTGTGTGCCAATGGTGATGGCGGGGTGTGTGTGTGTGTGTGAATCTGATGAGTGCACTCACTGCAGTACCTTCCTATGAAACTAAGGGCTAGTCTACACTACAGTGCTACATCGGTGCAGCTGCACTATGCCGACAGGAGAGCATCTCCCACTGACAGAGCACCAGTTTGGTCAGTGCTTAGGTTGATGTAACTTGCGTTGCTTGGGAGGTGGCTTTTTCACAGCCCTGAGTGATGTAAGTTACGTCAACTTAAACGGTAGTTGTAGCCAAGCCCTAAGCATTAGACTAACAGGACTTGATCCACTTTTGCAGATCACTGCAGGGTTGCTGAAATCTCACCTGGTACATTCGGAATGCATTCTTCAGATACTTGTATTCCTTCTGCATCCCCTCTGAGCAACAAGAGAAGGACAAGATGTGCAGTTAATACAGCAATTTTAACATGAATGTCTCAGCCATGGGGATTTGCACTAAAACCCTGAATAGATAACATGAAAATGGACTAGGCATCTCAGTCCAGACCCCCCAAGACACGTCTGTCACAGATTCCACCACATTGTATGGGACTAAGAATGAAGAAACGAATTCTGTTTTTTAAAGGTGGCTCAGAATTAGAAGGGGACTGAGGCTGGGTTGGGGCAGGTTGCGTGGAGTATCTGCTGACCCTACAGCTGGCCTGAAGACAACGGTCAGTGACTTTTCGGAGCACCAAAAGGCACCCAAAATTAAATGTAGCTGGGCTACACTCATTGATTTGAAATATTTTCTTCATTTCTGTTTACAAAAGTACTGAGCAAATTGCAGAAGGTCTGGCTGGCCATCCAACAAGTGTTCTGGGCAGCCTCCCCCTGAAATCAATATCTGTTTGGAAACCTGAGCATTATTCAAAGCAGCAGAAATCTGATGAGCTCAGGTGATCTCCAATTCCCTCCTGCTATTTTGGACTGAAATCTCTCAAGACTGCATGAGACTTTGGCATAGGGTGACCAGATGAGAGGAAGAAAATATCGGGACACGGGGGGAAGGAGGTCTGCCGGCGGACCAAACAAAACAAAACAAAACAAAAACTGCCGGCGGAGCGAAATATCGGGACAAAGATCAGTCAGGACACGGGACAAACACCTAAAAATCAGGACGGTCCCGATTTTATCGGGACGTCTGGTCACCCTACTTTGGCATAACTGAATCTCAACCATAAACCTTGATTCGGCCTCAGAACACAGACCCCAGTCTAAACCTAATCCAGATCTGGACATGACTCCCGACATCAGTTTATAATTCCAGCACAACGCTAGCATTTAAAGGACTGGCACACTACCAGCCGCAAGCCACCTTCCTTCACAACTATCCCTCTTCCCCACTTAGTACCGACAATCACGGCTCAGACCCCTCTTTGCTTTCAGTACTAAAACCTGGAGAGGCAAGGGGAGCTTCCAAAGGGAGTCTGCTGCTGTGAATATGCTAGAGAGGGAAAGAACCTGATAGGCGTTTCCAGCTCAGAGTAACCATGAAAACAACAGGGATCAGACTGTCCATACCCATTTTCTCTTGTGCAGAGGCCCTCTCAGTCCTCAGTTCTTTCTTGTACTGCACTTGCAAGGCCTGGAGCTCAGCACAGTGAGCTTCTTGGAGTTCCCTGTGTGACCAACGCACAAGCACATCAATGCAGAGATCCACAGAGCACACTTTCCTCTCCGCCACCCACTTGATCGTTTATAGTGATGGAATAATTACAGAAGGTGACTGGCCAGGTGACTCTCACTGTGTTCGTTATTTTGGTTTCTGTGTACTGCACATTTACATTTCTAGGAATCTGCAGGAGGCAGCTGACATTTTGTGGTCAATTCAGATGCAAATTACCAGAGGAGAGACACACTGTGCATATCCCGGAGACTTTACTTTTGTTCTTTCTTGTTTTAAAATAAAAGTCAACCAGGCTGAAAGTATAGGGCTACTCTTTGTGTGTGGAGAAAATACAACCTGGGGTGTAATTTGATAAGCAGAGAGGCTTGCAGATGTGTCATGCAGATCTTCCTAAACAAGGAGCCATTAGAAGCTTTATGGCATCTCGCACCATCATCTATTTAGTTTGTGCTGGGCATGTCCCAGCAAGTCATTTATCTCATTTTATTTGCTCTTGGTCCTATTTTTCTTCTTTCATTCTGCATTCTCTCTCTTTAAAGTGCATTAGTTTCTAATGAGGCGATTGACGAGAGCAGAATTTAGTGATGCTGTACAAGGGGCGTCTAAAGTCAGTTTATATATTAATTTCAAATGTATGTTTTCTGGTTTGTGAAGTAAGTTTACTGCACATGGGGTTGCTGGAGGAAGTCGGGTGTTGCTAGACTTAGCCCATCACCCCACCTTCTCAATAACCTTTCCCAAGCTGACGAGCTCATTGCTGACAATTGATACCTCAGTGAGGAGGAACCTTATAAAAATGCAGATTTATCCTTTCCAACTCAGACTTCATAGCTGGGTATAGTAGGGAGATAGGACTGGGCCAAAAGGCTCCGTTAGCCATCTGAGAGTCCTGGTGGGGGCGGGAGGCACAATTGTGTCAAGCTGGCTCTATCCTTTCTTCTTCAAGAGCGCGCGGATGGATCCTGGGTGACAGTTAGCCATAGAGAGCGGCACAGCTCAGATTTGTCACCACTCATTCAGCCAGTATGCAAGGCCCCTACGGTAAGGTACATCATGCTGTGGGCTCAGATGCCAACAATGTGCGGATGGCACCTAGTACCTCATCAGTTGAAGACAGCGTGGTGCCCTAAGTGTCTGGACAAAGTAGGGACATGAAAGAAACATTGATGTCCCCAACACAACGTGAAGTCAAGGTTAGGCTGGTCAGCAAAGGAAAACACTGAGACACTGGCAGACACACTTGCTATGCTCTCCCATTACTCCAAGAAAGTGTCCAGCCTAAGATCTCACAAGAACAGCTGTGTTCATGTCACATTTTGGCCTATGGATGATGGAAATATCATGAGAGAATAAAATCTCACAATATCTTCACCAGCCACGGTACAAAATCGAAGTACAGATGGCCTCATGATTCCGCTGCTCCCATGGTATCCAGGGTTGGAAAGTGAGCCTGATTCTGGCCTGGATTCAAAGCCACTGGATCTGGATGCCCCAATAATATTTATGGTATAGAGATCACAATGTGTCAATCCCAAGCTTGGCTCATTTTATAGAAGACATACTGCATGTTGTCTCTTAGTCTGAACATCCAAAACCACACAAGGTGTAAAATCTTGTAGAGAAAACTGGTATCCAGCATTCAGTTCACACATGTGCTTTCTCCTTGCATAGCACAGCAGTTGTACCTGATCTTATTCTCATGCTCCTGTTGCATCTCATTGCACTTTTCTTCCATATCCTTCTCCAACTTGAAAGGAAAGGAGACAAGTTTTTATTAAGGTGTAAACCAGGGGTCAGCAACCTTTGGCACGCGGCTTGCCAGGGTAAGCACCTTGGCGGGCTGGGCCGGTTTGTTTACCTGCTGCATCCGATCACGGCTCCCACTGGCCGCGGTTTGCCGCTCCGGGCCAATGGGGGCGGCGGGAAGCGGCGCAGGCCGAGGGATGTGCTGGTCACCGCTTCCTGCCGCCACCATTGGCCCAGAGCGGCGAACCGCGGCCAGTGGGAGCGGCGAACCGCGGCCAGTGGGAGCGGCGAACCGCGGCCAGTGGGAGCGGCGAACCGCGGCCAGTGGGAGCGGCGAACCGCGGCCAGTGGGAGCGGCGATCGGCCAAACCTGCAGACGTGGCAGATAAACAAACCGGCCCAGCCCACCAGGGTGCTTACCCTGGCAAGCTGTGTGCCAAAGGTTGCCAACCCCTGGTGTAAACGTACCTACCCTGCCATTTATTTGAGAGAAAATATCTGCTAATGACATAACTCCAGTCAGGTTACTAAAAATCCTGTCCACAGTGGGCTCAGAATTGTGATAGCTACAATTCCGATCCCAGTACAGAAAAGGCATTATTTTTATTCATTTTCCCCTTGAAAAACATGCTGTTTAACTGTTTTCCATCCTAGGCTGGTTATGCAGAGATCTCTTCATTACCTAAGCCCCTTGCTCTTTTTTCAGAGTCACCAATTGCAATCAGAGCAAACGCTTCTAAATTTCAAACAGCAGGGAAGTCGTTCAAGGTGGGCTTTCCAAAAGCGCTGAATTCACTTGGGAGCACAAATCCCCGTGACTTTCAAGTGACTTAGGTGGTTTTAAAAATGCTGCCCTCCATGAAGCAGCTGTTTGACTGTAAAGGAATCCACATTTATGGCACATAAACAATTAGTCAAGTTCCCCGCCTGCCAGTTCTCTGCACTAACTGCTAGACAACACTGCCTCCTGCAGGCATGTGGACACCTAGCAATCTGGGTGCACTTTAGCCAGTCACTCACTAATAATGGCACTGAAAGGATCCAGGCAGTGCTGTGTGGTCTCGTCAGTCCTCTCCCTGTAGTCTTCCTCAGACACTGTGACTTCATGGAGCACTTTCTGAAAAGAAGGGATAGATGACAGACAACCAGGTGGACTCACCAGTTTGCGGGAGGCCTGGTGATCTCTGCGCAGTTGCTCCATCATGTCTGTCAGCTCAGCAATCTGTTCCTCTAAGTCAGTAATAACATCCTCCCTAAAATGAGACACCATCTTTCCGTCATGCACGGGGCCCATTGCTGGGACAATCTTGTTGTTTTAAAAGGAGCAGTGGTGGAAATAGAAATAATATCACTACTAGAATTCAGCATCTGGGGCTGGTGTCTGCTCCCTCACTGCTTCTCTCACTCGAGGCGGCAGGGTTGCAGAATGGGTGTGTAATCTTCCCCCAGCCTGTCTTACCACCGGGGCTGAGGAAATGGTTCTCAGTGGTTTACCCACTCATTAGGGACGCCGTCCCCTCCCCTTTGGGCTCTTTTGGCCCAGCAACCGACTTTCCAGTGCAGCTCCTTTTCCTGCTCCCTTCAGCAGCAACACGGCCACCAGAGGAAAGTAAGGTCACAGAGAAAAGCAAGCTTTGACGTCCTGCCCACATGGAGGCACAATGAGAAGGGAGGGTGTATAGATGCACAGAGGGAAGGAGGAGAGGGTGGGTGGTTGCAAACAGAGACTGACCATCACTGGTCAGAATGTGGGACATCTTTGTGGAGAGCTGGTGCATTTGGGTCTCTGATTTATTCCAGTGCTGTGTTCTGGTGAATTTTACAATCCCAATTCTGACAGTGACCACCCCAGACACTGAAAGGTTGGTAAACAGTGATCAAAGCACCCTTTGTATATCCCCTGTCTCTAAGGTTGCCAATTCTGGTTGGACATATTCCTGGAGGTTTCATCACATGACAATCTTTCATTAAAGATTAATCTTTAATTCCTGGAGACTCCAGGTCAATCCTGGAGAGTTGGCAACAGTACCTGTCTCTAAGGATTACAGCTCTCATCTGCGAAAGAAAGGGCATTTCTCAATATGGACGCATGAGATTTACAATTGAATGGATGGTATTCCCTCTCCAAAAGGCAGGTCTTTTAATCTGCTTACTGGTGCTCAGGACTTCTAGATAAGTTTCAGTTTAATTGGGGCAACTTTCTCCATCCACTACTTCCCTGTGACCCTCTTTGGTCATCCCCTCTCTTTTTCAGCATCCTGAAGACTTCATGCTTTGGCTACCACCTTTCTGTCCAAGGTGGACCAGGCAGGACTCCTCTTGGAGACCATCAATGCTGCCACTTAGTCAGGTGGAAGGACCACTGTTGAGCAACACGTGATGTGCTCCTCTCAAGGGACTAAACAAGCTGCCTCTTAGCTTGTTAGAGCTAAGAGAATGAAAGCTGGGCCCCAGACCACAGAGGGGCTTTTACTGAACACTTCACTTCGCTCTAGTATCCTCCCAATGCCAGCTAGATACCAGATTCAAGGTCACAAGAGCACTCCAAAGAGAGGAAGCAAATGGAGGGATGAGAACATTTAAAGGAAAAGACCAAACTTAATAATCAAATTATGTTAAACTTTAGAACAGAATAATTTGAAATATTAATGGGCTGCAACATTTGCACAAGTATTGGCATCTGATAGGCCCAGAACACAACATTCAAGTCCAAATCACACAAAGTTAAGGGGTATTTGGCTCCAGATTTTGGGTCATCCCTATCTTCTGAGCAGAGTGTATTTCATGTCACAGTAGTTTACAAACTGTATTCAGTCACTATAAATGGCTTCTGACTGAACAAGATCTGACTATACACACTATTTTCTTACTTTAACATCTGCTTTCCTTACAGGAGATCTACATTTAGACTCAGTTTCCAGCCCTCAACACAAAACAAGCAGTGGGACAACAGTGTTCCATCTCCAGGGTGGAAGGAGGTGAGGGAGACACTTTGTATATAACAGTACATCTTGCTGTCACTGGTTAACCAAGAAACAGCATTCAGGGTAAGGAATGAAACCAGATTCCTGCAGGTGGTGGTGAGAAGGAGGTTAAAAACGTACATAAAGTTCACAGTTTTTGATTTTGACCCAAAACAAACACAAAACAAGCAATACTCACGTCTCAGGTTTCACTGGGCTTCTGCAAAGAGAGTGAAAGATTAAATGTACATTATCAAACTTCTGAAGGTTGAGTTAGAGTGGATGACATGAGTTTGTTGCAAAGCAAAAACCTGACTGCATCTAAGAGGCGAATCATTATTGAGTGTTCTCTGAAGTTTGTTCCATTAGCAACTCCTCCCATAATGCAGGATACTATACAACACCCAAAAACCTATAATGCTTCTACATTGACTTTTCAGCCTACACACACACACACACACACACACACACACACCACCCTTGGTGGTAGGTGCTAAAAAATAGACAGTGAAGTGGATGGGAGTGCTTGGTGAGAAGGCCAGGTACAGACATTTCAATGCAAGTCAGAAACAAAGCATTTATTTGTCCTATATTTTGCCTGAAAGCAGAGAGCTATGAACACACCCTGGGCAGATGCACCAAAGTTACACTTTCTTCAGCTAGCACTGTGCTCTAGAAATTGTCTCTTCTAAAAGCTGAGATCAGATCTCTTACTGGATCTTCAGTTTGGACCTGAATGATCCTCTCACACCAACCTGGGTCTCTCCCATTTTCTTACCGTTCTGTTTGCCTTAGAAACACTCCATCATTAAGAAAATGTTATTTTTTGTTACAGAAATAAAACTCCCCTCATTAAAATAAATGCTATTTTGGTAGCATCCCTCACTTTGGAAGGCAGAGCACTGTACAACTGATTCTAAAATTGCAGCCGCACTATCAAATTACAGTGCACACCTCTCTCTTCTACCCTTGTGACAGCCCTGAGAGTGCCACGTGCAGTACAACAAACAGGACCCAAAACTCTCACAAACCAGAAATCCAGAGAGAAGCTTGATTCTGCTGTCACTTTTATGAAGTCAATGGAATCGCTCCCGAGTTACTTAAATTAGAGAAGAATCAGACTCTTCATCTCCCTCTAACCACACACGAGGTGTTTACCTTGGGGCAGATTCTGATCTCACATCAGCTTTACACTGGTGTAACTCAGTTGGCCTAGACAAAGGCCCCTTGTCTATGCAGCATGTGCTTATGAGGGTCATCTCCCCTCTTGCAAGCTTCCACAAGTTCCTCACACACTGTTATTTTGGTGGGGGACCAGGACCATTTTAAGATTCAACCACTTTTCTTGCCATTTAACTGATTTTCTAAGATTACCTGGGAACAAAGCGCGGGGCCGGTTCTTCAGTAGCATTTTTTTTTTCAAAAAATTCCTCCCCTAGCGTGACGGAGAGATGTTCTTTACTTCGAGTCAAGGTATAACCAGGTGAGATTTCTATGAACTCCCCTGAAGCCTGGGGGCCAAAAGAGAAGATATTTAGCTCAGGAAACCTAGTGTCTGGAACCCTAAACCCATTAAAGGGATCTCTCTCTCTCATTCTGAAACTGTCAGGAGTGTTTTCTAAAGTATTCCCTGTACCAGCAGAAGGGAAAAATGGGATTCCCCACCCAAGGACCCTTCCCCAAAATCAAGTAGAATCAGATCTGTGACATTATATGGCTTTTGTGTTTTATGCTGGCCCATGGGTAAAGAGCAGCCCATACATTTCTGCAACAGGGCCTCCAGCTGCCTTCGTACCACCGGAGCAAGAAAGAACATCACATCCTGGGTCCGGCATTCGCCAGGCACGGCATCTCTGAACCCAAGATCCAGGCAGCTACAATTTGCTTAATTTTGCTGCTGACCTGGTGTCCCCAGCAGGGTCCCAGTGTTGAGGGCAGGAAGTGAACAATACCTTATCCAGATTAACTGCAGGGGGAAGTTGGGCAGAATTCTAATGAGCCAAGTTGAAGTTTGTTCAAGATTAGAGGGGTTGACACCCCAGCTCTTGCAAGTACCAAGGGATCTTTAAGAACTACAGGCAGTGAAGGTCTTTGTTTTCCCCTGAACATTGGCACAGCATGCCCTAACACCATGCCTGGTGGGGAAATACCTGCCAGATCACAAACATGAATGCACGAAGTTATCCAAGATGAAATTCTTAGCAAAGAGACCAGGAGGATCCTTCATTCTGTCTGCTAAGGCCATGAATAGTTGGTTTAACAAACAAAACCATTTGGTCCTGTTATTGTAGAAAGCCAACGCTCTCTAACATCTATGGTGTGCAGATGTTGCTCCTCTTTATTAGCATGTGGTTTTGGGTAACACACAGGTAAGTAAATTGAATGGTTATTATGAAAATCAGATACATTTTAGAGAGAAATCTCAGATGAGGGTGCAAGTACACCTTATCCTTAAGAAAAATTGCATGAGGTGGTTTGGATGTCAGAGCATGCAGTTCAGCCACCCTCCTGCCCACGGGATAGCTACCAGGAAAGCCACCATTAGGAATAGGTGCAGCAAGAAGTATGTTGCTAGAGGCTCAAACAGCAGGTGGGTCCATGAGTCCATGTTGCTAGAGGCTCAAACAGTGGGTCAACAAAACTAGGTTCAAGTCCCTGGGGGGATAGGTTCCCTTATTTGAAGGGACAACTTTTCCAGGCTCTTCACAAAGCCGATTCTCATATCATTAGGAAATATAGCATGGTTACCCATATAGGGATGGAAAATGGATCTTGATACTCGAAATCGCTAACCCCTGCTGTTGTAGGTGCAATAGATGGTCCAGGATATGCAGGATAGACGAGTATATTGGCAAGACCCTGGACTGACGAGCCCAGACAGAAAAACACCTCAATTTTGACAGGTAAGCAGTTCTGGCAGAGGGCTTTCTACTATTTAACAAGACATGGCAAACTTACTGCAAGCAAGACTCTTTTCTAGCATTTAGCCATGGAGCCTCCTGGCTGTTAAATGAAGGGCCCACAGGCTTGGGTAGAGCAGCTGTCCATGATCTTGGGAGATCAAGTCTGGGTTCAACAGAAGTGAAATTGGAGCTGCCACTGACAGATACATTAGAGTAGAGAACCAGTGCCACCAAGGCCATGCTGAGGTTATTAATATACCTTGGGTCTGGTCCCACTTATTCTTTAGCATCATTCTGTGTAGGAGTGGGATTGGGGGAAAGTGTAATAGCCTGTTTGTCCAGGGTAGCATCTGTGATGGAAGCAGGACTGCAGCTTTGTAGGAAGCAAAACTGTCAGCACTTCATGTTCCAAATATGTCTGTTTGTGGTGACTCTTAAATGATCTGCTTAGGTGGGCCACCAGCTTGTTCTGCACCCCTGGAGGGTAAGAGGCTTTCAGTTTGATTGAACTGGCAATGCAAAAGTTTCATAGGTGAATTGCTTCCTGACAAAGCAGCCAAGAGTGAGTGCCCCCTGACTGTTAAAGTAAAACATCGCTGCACGTTGTCTGTGAAAACAAACAGGCTCTTCCCCTTGACATGCGGTAGAGGAAGGCCTGACAGGTCAGGTGGACAATCCTTGGCTCTCTGGCTTTGATATGAAGAGAGACTCTTTGAGGGCCACAAACTTTGAGTTCCGAGGGGGCCCAGATGAGCTGCCCACCGCAGGGCAGATAGGTCTGTCACCAGCCAGCAAAGGCTGAGGGTGGACAAAGGAAACACCTCCACAAACACTGAGTGGGTCTGTCCACTAATCTAACAAAGTTAGTATCCAGGAGAGCACAGAGTTTAGATCATGGCAACTTAGTGAATAAACGGAGGCCAGCCAACTTTCAAGAGTCCGAATATGAGCCTCCCCTAAACATTTCAAGAAGCGTGAATTTGGGTTTTTCCTGGGCCTCTGCCTAAGGCAAGAGATTCATGGCTTGAAGCCCTATGACCAAGTCATCCCTCAGTACCAAGTAATGGGAAAAAAAACAACTGGGGCCAAAATGAAAACTCACACTAAGTCTAGAAAGCTATCTACAACTAATTTAAAATGGACACACCAAGAGTACTTTCAAACACCCGACAAACAACTCCAACGATCCTCACAGGTGCTAAGAAGGAACTGAGGGAGCTCAGGGGCGGCTGGGCCCTATATATTGGTGCAAGTGGCACAAAGCAGCAGAGGGTGCTCGAGTTGCCCTGATGGGTAGCACTGAGGGAAAAATTTCCGATGACTGTGCGAGGGGCCCGGGCACACCAAGAGTGGGAGGCACATGTACAATCACTTGAAGAAGAAATTCTTATTTGCAGTAAAATGCGAACGATCCCACCTGTTCTACTCACATCAGGTGGTTCTCTGCTTCGTAGTCGATATCCATATTTTCTGTTGGGCAATATCCCTCTGCAAATGAAAAGCACCTCCTGAGAGAGTTGCAGACAAGTAGAGTTGCTCAAGGACTAAAACTGCTCCACTTCAAAGATCAGAGCCAGGCACACTCAGTTAAGCCCAGTTTTCGTGGGCGGCCAGGGTGGCGAGAACAAAGATGTGCCCCTTTTCGTAGTGATGTGTGAGTATAGCTATACTGAGTTTGCCAACCAGTTTCCCTGAGAGCTGCTTGTGATCTCTGTATGTTATTATTTATCTGAGGGACTCAGATTTTTTTGGTCACATACCATATACGTATGTACAATAACACCAGCCACATGCACAGAGGTTTTGGTGCTCTATACTAGGCAGTCACCACCACTCAGCTAAGGTTGCTACCTGTCCGGTTTTCACCCAGACAGTCCGGGTTTCAGCTTGTGTGTCCAGGTGCCATTTGACAAACCCTGATGCCCATTTTTTTTTTAAATCTGTGACAAGCCTAAGCGGAAGGAAGGAGGCAGCGCAGCAAGAGTGCATGCATTCACTGGCGAGACTCCACGTCATTGAGGCTTTAGTGCTTCATGTGTAAATTACCATAACATCAGTACTATTGGGCTGTTAGTCATGCGAAGTCTTGGGACTGCTAATAAGAGTTCTCTGTTTTCTGCTGAACACAGCCGCTCGTTGGGGAGAATTAGCACCTGTACACTCTGGAAAGCTGTTTCATGTCACATACCATCTTGAGCCCTCCACTCTTCTTCTCAAAAAAGACAAATACTTACTTGGATGTGCTGGGAGGTTTTAGAGCAAACAGGAAACTATTTTGGTTTTTCAAGATCATGCCTAGTGAGGAGGACCTGATTTAAAAATATAAACAGTATTCAGACATATTTATGGAACAGACACGAACCAGGTTTACATAATCATGGCAACTCAGCCTTCTGAGAGCAGCCAAGCATTATACTTCCCGGAGGCAGCAGTCCTTTAGCCAGCTTATTTCATAGTGGGCATGGACTGTATCCTTGCCACACCCCAGGCACAATCACAATAAGATTGCATTGGGTGTAATTTTGGACAGACTTTGGCCCTGAATCTATACTCAGATGTTCCAGCAAGTCTCCAGTTACTTGGTTTGGGTTATGGCCTCTTGGAATTCTGCTAAGATAAGCTGTAGTGTATCTAAGCAGTAGCCTCTCAGTGGTGCCCTCCCATAGTCCCATCTCTTCCCTCTGGGCTTGCGGGAAGCATGACAGAAATGACATACACAGCACCTGATACCAGCACTAAACTCATTACAATATAACTTGTGTAAAATACATGTGGAAAGGCATACATAACATAAAAGGGTAATACATTACTTGTATAAAAATCAGTATACACACGAGTTACCTGTAACTTTAAACACATTTCTCTATAGGTATATATAATTTACAACCCCACCCCCAACTATTAATGGAGCCCAAATAAAAGATAAACACAAGAAGCTGGTGTTAAACATTAGAAAGAATGGCATTCCCTCTTCCTCCAATGGCTTCTGCTTACCTGGCTTTCTGATTCGGTAAGCCTGGCATGGTCTTTATTAGCTTTTTACCCCTCACATTCCAAGGATCCCAACAGGCACAGTATAAAAAGGGGGAATGAGACATGTTTGCATAGCAAGAACCCTGGCTCGGCAAAAGGCTGGAGATGAAATAAAGATATGAAGATTCAGAAGCATTTTTCTTATGGGAGACCAACACAGCCAAGTATACACAGCAAATTCAGCCCTTGGATGCATAATGCAACTCCCATTGAGTTCTGTAAGAGTTACACATGTGTATCTGAGCACAGAATTCACTCTTAAGGATTTCCAAGTCTGATCTTTATCTTATACTCATATGCAAGCACAGTATCTTTCCATCTTATTTACATCAACTACTTAACTCATACAGTGATCCGCCCCAGACACACAGTGGACAGGGGAGGGATTTTGGAGATTTCACAGCTGGCTACTTTCAAATGGTCATGGAGATTCACTACTTTCATTTATAAGTAGGGCTGGGACAAATCCATCCTTTGGAGATCCAAAGAAAGATCAGTGCAATTTTGGCCTGCACGGAGAGCTATAACATCACTGAGAAGGCAGGCAATCATCTTGCTGTATATGCCTGTGGTGCAGCCACACTAGGATAACTGATCACTAGTGTAATCACAGGTACAAGGCTCTGGCTTGTCATGGTACCCAACCTAGTCTGACAGTTCCTAGTAGTATGCCAGGTGCATCATGAGTGAGGCTCTAAAGACCCTAACAACTGATGGGTTCCATTTTGCACTCTCCATTTGCCTTCAACTCTGTGCTCTTCCCAAGCCCTTGGCATCCTGTCTCTGTGATCAACTCTTCAAAACTGCCATGGAATTTTCTCTTCCTGGCCACCTACCACATTCCACAGAACATGGGAAAAAACAGTAACAAATTTACCAAAATTACCCTCTGCTGACACCATCCCTACTCAGCCATGGAATCATCACACTAGAAAGAATTTAGAGGCACTTTAGAGAAAAACAATTATTGGGGAATACAGGAAAGATTAAAGTAGCCTAGATTGAGCTAGGATAGGACTAAGGGAATGGTGGGGGGCGGATCATGGTAATAGCCTACAAGTATTGGAAGGGATTATTGTGTGTGCTAACAAGGGAGGTAGAACTAAGAGTAATGAGATCTCATTTAGAAATGGAAAAAATTAGGCCAAGTATTCAGGCAAAACTTCCTGTTTCCCAGGTACATAAAGCTGAGAGATTGTCCCCCCCACACCCTAATCTGCTGAAAAACGCTTAGAAAACCCATAGATGAACAGAGCCCACAACAAAGATAAATCAATTAGATCTCTTGGGTCCACAGTTCCAGCTGAAAATCAATGGGAGCTTCAGGTACTGGCACCTCTACAAATCAGGCCCGACAGCTTGAAATCTATTTGGGGCCTCCAGTGGGCCCAGCCCTCAAGAAGTTTGTCTGAATGCTGTATTGGATTTAACAGCTTTTTAAAAACATTTCTGGGTCTTAGCAGCAGTTTCAAGTTCTTTAGTTTCTAAAACACAAAACCCAAGAGTACTGGACTGTGTCCCCTTTGCCGATCTGAATCGCAAACAAAACAAGGGGAAAAAAAACCAAACCCTTACATTTTGTGTTACTCTCATACAGCAACTGGCTTTATCCTTTGGGTCCAGCCGTTTCCAGAGACTGGAACCCCTGGAAGTTTATGAAAAAAGCAGCCCTTGTAGGTCCTGTTTCTTATCAAGATCTTTGCTTCTCCCTAGACAAGGTTAGTTTCCCTTGTCACCATGGAAACAGGAGTGTGCCACTTCATTGGCTACTAATATTCATTCCATCTTAAAGAGAGAGTGCACAAAACTCTTTTGCCCAGAGAGTCCGTCTGAAATGATTTCAGGGTGTACAAGAAACTTGAGAGAGAGAAATAGGTGTACAGAGTGTAAGAAGCCCATTATTCCCAAGGAGGAAATAATGTTTTAAGGTTGTAATTCACACGAGAAGTTCTGGATTGACAACCCAGAGACTCTCGTTCTCTGTTTAGCAAATGAACCAGCAAAGCGCAGACATCAGCTGTGCAAGTCTCCCCTGGTTGGCCTCCCAACACCTCCCTACCCCGAGCAGACAGGAACACCACAATGGAGGAGGTTACTCATCTTGTTAAAAGTTTCAGTCCTTGGCCTCTTTGTGAGGCTGGCAAAAGGGTGAAAAAATGGTTTGTGGTAGTGTATCTTTGTAATGTGACCACATCTCTAGGAACCAGACAGTAACCACCAACTCATTTTTATTGATCAGTAAACAGCCTTCAGATGGTAATGACTTTTGGACAGCAATCCCAGATTTCTCCCTCCCCATATCTGTGATATATTTGCAATGTTTAGACATCTCAGATTACGTTGCTTCAGTATCTTGGGACTGACACTACTGTGGTCCTGATCTTGAAAACAGGCAAACGTGTAACTTTTCAGCAGTGAGTAAACATCTGGAACATTCCAGGCACACTCCTGTAAGTAAAACTTCCGTGCATGTTGTATTTGCAGGACTGGAGGCTCAGCAAGGAGAAAACAGCAGGTCAGGTGGAATGCTGACTAGGTACACAAGTAGTTTGCTTGTGTTCATCTGACAATGCGCATGTTCTGATGATTGACTGGTGGATTAATTACTAAGACAGGTACTCAACTGAAGGACAAAGAGGGCCCAACTCAGGAAGCTTTAGAGGGACAGGTGTGCAGAGATGGCTTTAGGCTAACAAGGAAATAGGTTTCTTTTCCCAGCACCCAAGGGTGAAAGGGTAACACTTAAGGAAGGGAGAATTATCCATCATTAATTCAATTTGCTTCAGTCTGTCCTCCCATCCTATGACAGGTGTTCGGGACACTTAGCATTATGATGGCAATGACCAGGAAGGAGGTAAAAGAACTGCATGATCAGTAATTATAAAAGGCCCATTCAGTCCTCCCTTCCTTCCCTAGAAGCATGAGAGTCACAAGAAGATAGGTCAGTGGTAGTAGTATGGGGGAAGGATTCTTGTTTCCAAACAGGAGACAATAAAAAACTGGAGGGAAGGACTGAGGGATGCTGGTTGATTTTCCATAAATATATGGGAGGTTGCGCCATTTTTTCCCTCTTGGCTTCCTGCTAGAAGTCATTCTAATGCTAAGAGTCCTTAATAGCCATTGTGGGATGAAAGAAAAAGTATGCACAAGAGTTAATTATTGCATGTAATCTGACAAGGAGACATTCACATCTGGATATTCTTTTTTTAAGGCAGATGTGAAATTCTTCATTCTCAACAAAAAGGTTTTTCAAACAACAAAGAAGATGTACAATAAACATTGTTATCTAGATTTAACCACCACTAAATATAAATCTACTGTATTTTAGCAACATTTCATTTTTTTAAAAGCCAAATCTCCTTTTATAAGAGTACCCACCACCACAATACTCATATTTTTATATCTAAAAATAAAAATAAATACATGCATGGAACAAACCACAGTGCAACCAGTGTAATGTAAAAGGCATGTTTGTACATGTTTATTATCAAATTTACATTCCGCTATGAAAAATTAAGTGCCAAAAGCAGATGAACAAAAAAGGTTCCCAGTTTCTCAAACAATGTTGTGCAACTATCCTATGCAGTAGCTAAATGGGTCTCAAACCCAAATCTTTGCTCTTTTCTATGCTGTTTGCTCTGATTAAGTAGATTTTCTTCTGCTTAAGTTAAAACATATTCCATCTCACTGCCCATGTGTGCTTTTAGTGCACAGGTTTGTATACATTTCATATCAAAGAAGTTCAGTTAGTGAAACTACAACCCTGTGGTTCTAAAGGCAGAAAATTCAATGTGTACTTTGCTTACTTGCCAAAAATATGCTCAAAACCTGAATAAGACAGACACTGAGGTTGGCAGACTGACATCGCAGGAAGCTCTCTCTGTTTCTAGGTCTTTCCTAAAAGGGATGGCTAAATTCCTTTGTCTTCTCTGGTGTTTGTTCCATGCTGCAGGTTTGTGGACACAGGACCCGTTTCAACAGCAGTTATTTGTTGCTGTTGCCACTAGCTCCACCTAGCTGTCTAAGCAACCTTGAATTATATCAAGAGACCCTTTGTAGAATCTTAGATAGATCATTCATGTAAATGCTTATCTCTACTGGGAGGCAGGAAACGCTAATCAATTCTTCCAACTCCACAGGAACTAAATATGCTACGAACATCATCATAAAGGCCTATGACAAAATGTTGTCTTCTAGGTTTGGCACAAACCACTGCTACATCCTTCAGGTCTAATTTTCTTTGACCATGGAATTTTGGCACAAGTATACAAAATACACCTGGCGTATCCATTGATATAAATGCAAGATAAAAAAAATCTTCAGCTTCAACTGAACGGATAAATATCCAGCCACGATAGTGCACAAGTTCTGCTTTTATCACTTTCCTGTTTTGGACGGGTAGTTGATGAGACACTGCTCTATGGAAACGTTATTACACATTAGGCTGGGACAACTTGGTATCATTCAAATCAAAACATGTTTTTAAAAGGCTTCATTCCATATTTACATGCATTTAATTATTGTGCTTTTAAATGAACTTAAACACCAATCTGGTCTGAAAAGAAGTCTGACTCAGTTGTTTTGATTCTTCTGCTGTTAATACACAGCTATAGCAAACATGACAAAGCTAGTTAAAATACATATATATAAATTCTAAATTATTTAATACATGTAAAAGTCTACCTGTAGTTTACAAGTATTTATATAATAAATGTACCTAAATTGAACATTAATTTGACACAAATGCTGTTCTCTGTATACATCAGACTGTCTAATTTTCATTGCTTTGTCACCTGATATTTCCCTGCGAACTGCAAAATACATAGATGATATACCAAATGCTCAGTTCACTGGAGAACAAATACTCACCTTGTCAAGTGAGGTAAGACCCTGTGCATGGTTAAGGAAGTACAACCCAAATGCTTTAAAATAAAAATTAGGAACATTTTTTGTCGTTTAAACAGAATTAACCCATATGCATTATTTTAAATTAATAGATTCATCTTTTACAACTATGTGAGCTAACTAAGCAAACTCCCAAAGGCCAACCAATGGAGCTTTGTGAAACCTTGGGAAGTAGTTAGCACTTGGAGTGGTTACTACTTTTCTTTTTTAGAAACAAGCTTTATATCAAAAAGCATCATTAAGACACCTAAAGGAGTGTAATAGTAGGAAATGTCATGTTATAAATGACATAGAAAATATGATAGCTTTATAAATGGATTTTTAATCTGTTCCATTTAAAGTTTTGACAGTGCCTGCAGTGCTGCAGCATCTAGAGCCCAAATGAGGATGGTTGTACCTCTTGCCGGTTATAACCAGTCCTATGACTGCTTCACTCCAGTGGACCCGAAGAGGGTGTCACCTAGAGCCCCAACTCCACAGGTTTTACAACCAAGTTTAGACATCCTAGTTAAGCATGGCTGTTAAAACATGGTTGTGGCCAAATCTGACCCTATCACTATGTGACTGGTCAGAATGAATGGGCCCCAAAGAGTATTAAAACATCTATAAAAATTATTCCAGTGCAGGTAAAGACCATTCAGCCAAAACATATATAGTTTTGAACTCTGGTTTGATTTTCCATATGATTTGATCCCTTACACTGCTCATGCTGGCCTGGTCTCAGTAGATCTACCACAACTATATTTAACAACTAGGGTAAAGTATAATTGTTAATTCACTTGTAAAGAAATGTAGACTAAAAATCCTAACAATGAAAGTTCCTTGTAACTAAAATTAGGTTACAAATAAACTATTCTATTTCACAGAGGTTAAGGACTTGTTCAGAATAGAATCACTTGCAGAGATCTAGCACTGATCAGTTTGGACAGGTTTTTCTTCCCTTGTAGCTACTTTATAAACCATGATATAGATTATTCAAAGGAACAACTTTTTATGCTTAGTTATAGCTAAAATGCTTCTGAATCCACTGGTGATAGGCACCCAAAGACACCAATATATTTTTTTCAAGAGACTTGATTTCTGTCCATTGAGTTTTCCAATGCAGTGAGTCTGCCTCCTAAGATCTTTATTACTTTCACTCAGAACAGTAAGGCTTTGACCTGCTCTCCATCAACAAAGAAGAGGCAGATTATCTTCTGACAATGACAAAACTCATTTCTATTTGATACAGTGGCCGCAAAAAACACTCACTGCTGTCTTATTTGTGCTTCAGTGCCAGAGTCTTGAACGTTAGGTTATGTACTAACCACAGTTCCAGGACAACTTTCATGGACTGTTTCCTCAGTGAAATCTGTGTAACAGAATCCTGCCTAGAATCAGAAAGTATCTTAAATATCAAATCCATTGTTTTTATATTCCGTTAAAAAGCTCCCTCAAATGTAGAGACTATCTAGCAGCCAAGAGCAGAGTCAGTCACAAAACTTCTAACATTCTGTTGTCTTCTGTTAATATGCTCCCCATTTAGATCAAATAAAAACAAACCTAGAATCAAGCATTTATGTTTTACTCCCTTTTAGAACATTAAAATGTGCCTGAGATTTTGTGTGTGTGCGCAAGCAAACCTCCTTTTATTAAAAATATATGCATAGCATGCTTTGGAAAGGTTTCTTAGCTCAAAATAAACAATTTTTCCTAGAATATAAAATCTTCTTCTGCTTAGCTCCTACTGATTGCACTTTCCTCAGTGTGCTTTCAACAGCCTTCAGAAAGTTCAGAGAGAAATGTCATTCTGTTAATACTCCACTAGCACCATTGCACTCATCCAAAATAAAAATCCTACCCCAACTCCTATTTGTAGATGCAATGAGAAGTAGAAAACTTAACATACAAAATATTTTTTAAAAGAAGAGGTTCAGTTTAATTTCTAAATTGGAAATGCAAAAAAACAAAGGAATCCGAGTTGTTCCTGTGCTTGTTTTTCATTACTGAGATAGATTTGGACCAATTATTCTGGTGCAGTAAAGAACAGATTCCTTGTTCCTTTTACTAGTACCTTCAGCTGTACAATCTGACTGCTAACATTTGGCAAAATAATATGATCATGGTGGAAAGGGGGAGACAGAGCTTTCTACAAGACATTTATTGCCCTAGACACATACATCTGAAAGCGGAAGATACTGACAAGCATTTGTTATTGTCTTCTTTTATTCAAGTCAGGAAGTCAGATGTCTAAAGGGTCTCAAGATTTAACTTTGGTTTCTTCTTTCCTGTGATCTCTTCCCAACTCTTTCTTCTTCCTTCCTCAACTCCATGCAAACTCTCTCTCTCACCCCATCTCCCTTTCTTTTTCCACTTTAACATGCACATTCCTTCTGCAACTTTCTATTCCACACCTGTATCAGATGTTCAGCCTTAATGTATTATTTGTTCTGCTAGAAGTCTGTTACTTGGAAACCACTTAGTCTTCCTTTAAGATACCCATTTTTGATGAGGATGTACAAAATGGAGCTCCAAGTGCCCCAATCATGACTGGAAGACTCTGATTTCTTCTTAGTCCACCCATCAGGTTATTACCTGCATGTAAAAACACAGCTGAGTCCTGCCTCTGCAGGCCAGTTTCTGGCCCTTGATTTTTTCCCTGGTCCCCTGTCTCAGGGGGTTTGACTGCTCTGGCAATACCCAACCTCTTCAGCCTGTCCACCAGGTTCATCTTCAATTGGTCTAGGTTAGGAGGGTTATGGGATGGTTTCAGGCCACACCTTTCCTGCAAGAATGTTTCAGCTGGTCGTGATGCCAGAAAGTTTTCAGAGAGATGAGCTCGAGTCTCAAAAGGCGGAGGGGAAGAACGAGGTGAGTGTGAGGGAGAATTTGGGGGAGTGGAGGGAATGGGACGGGTTCGTAGGGGCTGTAGTATAGGCAGCTTTTCTGGCATGGGGCTATCACAAACTTTGGCAGAGATGCCTTGTTCATGCAAGAGTTTAGCCAGACTGGTGGTGGTGCTCAAGGTGGTGGAAGAGTCACTTCTGTTGGTGAGGAATTCTCCAATACTAAGCTTACAGGACATGGCTGGAGAGCTCACAGTTGTATTGCCAGTACTGTTGCCACTACTTCCAAATGATAATGGAGTGTACATGGAGCTGAAAAAAAACAAACACACACACAGGATATTATTACTGCATCTTGCTCTCTGGAAACTTTCCTATAACACGGGGCAAGGTAATAACAATCACTTAAAATAAGGCTTGTGCTCAAATTAAAAAAAGGAGATTAACAATTCCGTATCTGCATAGAACAAGATTCACTGCAACTTTCACAACCTCAGCCTTTATAATATTCAGAAATACAAAACATTGCTTTGCAAATCCCACACGGGGGGACACAAAACCATTAGAAAAAAAGTTAGAAGGTGCCATATTGGCATATTTTGATAGGAAATGTTTTTTTTATAGAAAATGCAG